TGAACACAAAGTTAGTAAATTTATATTATTCATATATGTCTACATGTCAAAATGTAATAACAAGTACTGGTCAAATATTTTAGATTTGTGGGATAATTTTCGGGTATGTTTTTTGTAGGAGAGGGGAGAAAAAGGCGTTTCGTCTTGGGATCGTCTGTCAGATTCGTCTCAGTGGGGCTGACAACAGACCATCTCTGCCCCAGACTCCTATCACCAAACCGCAATTCAGAACTTGTGCATGTCGACCGCTTACGAGAACGCTGTCACCGATCTCTCGCTGCTACCTAGCGGTCCCCGGGCCGAACTAAAGGCGTCCGGGGAGACGAAACCATTTTCCCCTCCACTAAACGCCTACAGTACCTTGATTGAAAACACATTAAATTGTGATGTCATCGCTTCTGTACTTTATACATTTAGAGTACAAATGTATTCATACAACGTTGGAAAAGTTGATTTCTCTATAAGCGTAAATTGTATTGTTAAAAAGCTGTGCTATATCTGAACATAAAATTGCAATTCCATTCTTTTGAGCTCTATGTAATTTCTTAAGATCTATAGCCCAATTTTGTTCCTGTCTGATCAATCCCACTCGCACGTGTATAAATTGATAATAAGAGAATAGCGACGAATGTAGAGAGGAAAGAAATTCCAAGAGATGATCCAAGTCCTAGGTGGTTTTATGAAGGATAGAATTTTCCCTCTGTGTTTGTAAAGCTTGCAACACGAAATTGGCTACTTCTTCGAGGCAATTGAGTTTATTTGATCGAAAGAACATTCGCGTTCTTCAGACGGAAAAGAAAGATATCCTCAGCGTCATCGTTTGCTTCATTTCCTCTACAGGATATTCATGACCGGGAAAGGTATTTCCTTGTTTTCATGTTTGTCACGTACGAGCTATGTAAAATTGAATAAATCGATATTTTGTATACGTAACTCAAATATCCGAAATTTATTATTTTTTTCAAAATTCCCAACATACAACTATTCAGAGTAAAAATCGTATAACATGCATGTACGAGCATTTTTGCTTATAATTAGTTTAGTATCAGATTAAAGGTTTTGAATGAAATTCAGTTATAATTTCAGTTTAATAATTTTATACCATATATATAATTCCCGCGTGTGCATCTCACTTTGTCTTTGAAGTAAATAATAAATGTTTCATTCGCATGTAACAAATAAATTAAGAAGACAACACGTATACCATTGAACTTCGATAATTTTATTTAAAAAGGATTTAGAAACAGTTTAACTCGTGTTTCGCAACTGTTTATCGGATAATTTTATTATTTTTCTCAAATGTTTCGACATGCTAAAATAAATTGAAACAAAAACAAGAGTGTGTATCAGTTCGACATTCCTATCATCATACGTGTAAAGTGTCCTTCAGACGATCAATATATATTGTCAATATTGTCAATATTGTCAATATTTATTGACAAACTGCATTGGTCTTCAGACGTTTAACACGTTTAGTTGGTAGTCAACGTGTTAATATTGTTTATTGACAATACACGTTAGTATTTCACGATGTTAAATCAAAATAAACCTTGTACAACCATTATTTTAATACTGTTAATGAAAAAGCCAACGAAGAAGAGGATATGGGCTAGAATACGCACACTTGACCAGGCCGCCCGTACGGGCGCCTAACGTAAGTGCAGTCAGGCTTGTCACGGGCAGAGCTGTCTATACTACTGCGATCGGTGGTGGAAGCATTATCGCGACAATAGGCCTACGAGTACGTGTTATGACAGACGATATAACGCGACACCGTGAAGTAAAGGACCTGATCCGGTCCAATGGACAAATATTTTGTATGATTATGATTGCATTCATAATTAATTTTTGTATAATGAACGATGGATATGGCGGTGGAAAAATGCAAAGAACTATGTTTTACGCCAGATATTTTGAGGGAAAATTTCGAAAGTATATTTAAAAGCGATTATACATAAAGTAAGACAGTGGATACAGAAAAGTGCTATGTATTTAAATCTCGCGACAAGAGACGACCTACTCGTACTGAGAGGACACGAGTCACCAAGTACATATCAACACGTGCACGTGAGCACGGCAGGGCCGACTTACGGGTTCCGGATCCCCACATCGCATTGTAAGATAACCCTGACTTTATATGCAAGAGCCCCCAGGCAAGGGACCATCATAACTTGGCCCTGAACTGTAACGCGTGACAGCCAATGACAGCAGTCGCAGAGCCAATCACGTGAAAAGCGAGGGAGTTGTTTGTTTTGGTTTGGTGACTCGGCTCGTTGAACGGAGTATAGATTTGGATCGTCAGCTGATATTCAAAATAAGTCATCCTTGTCACTCACACAGGCGCTAACGCGTAAACAGACGTATAGCACAAACACGCGGATTGTAATTTTAAAGCGTCTTTTTTAACAATAAAAATAGGTTTTACTTTCTAATTTTGTGTACACTCGTGATCAAATCAGGTTTCCCCAGCTGTTGATGTTCTGCGTTGTCGCTCTTACCTGCAAAAATCTCCGGGGGAAAATGACAATATACCGAAGAGGGCTCTGTGCCAATGGGGTGCCGAGCCGTTCGTTCGCGACCTACGCCAAGCCCACTTTACGTAGCCGACACTGCCGACCACGGGTCGGAAATTCCCCTCTACAAAAAGTCTAGCATTGACTGTAGTGCCATCTACTAACCATGCGTCACGAGTGTACTAAAAGTAGACATATATATAAGTATACTATATATGCCTCTGATATATATAGTATTTCTCAGACTGATATATATATGTATATATATAGAATACGAAATTTTTGATAGTCATAAAGTGACTGCTAAAAATCAGAGATTTATGATTTAGCTGATTTCTTCAGCCACCTGTAGGGATACGATAATAAATTAATAATTATTAATTATTTGGACTCCACCAAAACGGACGCTATGACGCTATGACGCCAAACCACGCCAAATGACGCCAATCAACGCCAATGTAGGCGGCGCTGATTGTCATCGTAGTAGCGCTATCTACGTACTGTCCGTCATCAGGGAACTAAAACTGAAAAGCCAAAAATATTAGTGGGAGTTTCCGACCCCTGCTGCCGACCTTGAGCCCGCGCGCTGTACGCGCTCGGATTGGTCAATGTTTTTCGTTAATAACTCAAAAACGAAGCTTCAAACAATATTTTGCCAAAGGAAAATATTGTTCACAATCACCCCAGCTACCACCTCTTCAAGAAACTAACGGTAGTTCTGGGACACCGTGTATATGTATGTATGTATATATACATGAATTTGTAAACGTTATATCTTGAAAACTAATAAAAATCGGGTGTATACATTAAAGCTTAACCGTTTGACTCCCAAGCAGCGCGGTCGCGCTGTTTAGATTTTATGTCTAAAAGACCCAATATTGGGTTTATAACACCGCTATTGTGCTGTTCAGTACTTTTCGACAATGTTTTTTTCTTTGACCCCTGGGACTCAAACGGTTAATAAATTCGTTTTGAAAAGCACTATTACATGATCTTAAAAAAAATATATAGTTCCATTTGAAAAACGAAACTTGATCATTATAACTTTTAAACTAATAATGTAAATAAATTTCCATGTAAACAATTTTTCGTATCATCAATAGTTACGAAATAAAACGTCTGTCACACTTTAGCACGGACACCCTGTATATGTACATCGCGGCCTCCTACAATATTTTGGCGGGAAAATTTGAGTTATTATCCATTTTTTTATCCGTACAACTTCAGTGGCATATTAAATTTTATAATACATAATAATTAAAAATTATATATGTATCTTTTTTAAAAACTTTTAATATTAATATCGCCAAAATTAAGATTTTGAGAATTCCTGCTTCCTCTACGTACATTAGAGAAGCCTGATTTGATCGCGAGTGTACAAGTCACAACATATTATTTAACTGGAAGTTGATAATTCAATTTTAATGAAATTCTTTATCCTGTTACTAAACTAAACTGAAATTTGCATATATGCTCGATGTTCCATTTCTACTCTGCGTGACTGTAGGTGTATTCCTAAAAAGTTCAAATTTCCGCTGGGAAAAGCGGTAAAGCTTTTATCGTGTCAGTATCGATTTGTTCGATCTTGTCCTAGTTTTAGAATGAAACGTAAATTGATGTATCAGATTTTTGTTATTTTATTTACCCATAACTGGCATGCTGCTCATCCTGTCAGATGGAATAGATGTATGATGGGACTCAAAGACCTTTTAGAAATGTTCAAAAATTTACAACTAATAGAAACAATAAATAATAGGTAATATTGTAAGTTGTATATATTACTTTATTTCAGTAATAGCAAAGAGATATTTAAAAAAAATAAGGTTTAAAAAATTAGGTTTTATTTTTGCTTATATATAAAGGATAAAACAGTTATTCAGATGCAAAGATAATATATTTGTTGTAAATACGGACAATTTCTTAGAATATATGGAATGTCTACTAATTTCTGTCGTTTAAAATAATTGATAAATAGCAGCAACACAAAAAATGCTCTTTCTAGGCTTAGTATAATAATAAATCTGTTAGGTGTGTTTATATTCAGGGATAATGCACATCATCAGCAGCCCTCCAGGTGGACGAAGACATGGGCCGGTCACCGTGGAAATGAGATGTTCCGTTTCTGACCGTGGCCGAAGAAAAAGTCCTGTGCAGGTTGGAAACGTCCTAACCGCTTGATCGGAGGTGCAACGACGTGGATGCGTAATCCCCCACGCTTGCGTGGTGGATTGCGGCTAAAACGAAGCATTGTTGTGGCTATCGCCGATATCCTAGGGCAGGCCTGTCCAAGTAGGGGAATCCACTCCTGGAATACATGTTTTGGGTCCCCTTCCAACGCTGCTCCTTCAAGTAAGATGGGACGGTTCCGACTACCAAAGACGGTAGGAAAGATGGAGAGACGGTAGTCGGAACCGTCCCACCTTACTTGAAGGAGCAGCGTTGGAAGGGGACCAAAAACATGTGTTCCAGGAGTAATTTACCCTACTTGGACAGGCCTGTCCTAGGGTACTTGAAGCGGTGAAAGGTGCCGGCGGCCCACACTTAGGGGAGAAGTTTTAGTGGGTAGTGTATCATCCCTTCTGGGTGGTATGTATGAGTCCCACATTGCCCGGCCCCCCTTAGCGAATAGTGCGACAGGGGGTCAACCGCGCGTACGTAAATGTACTTCCTCTTCCATAAACAAAAAAAAAAGGTGTAATTATATTCTCTGAGGATACAAAGCGAAGCCCTTTGAAAGGCCAGAAGATTATTACCTTGCAATCATCCTACCAATCAACTGCAAACTATTTCTCATTGTCAGTGAGTTCATCATGAGATGTACCTTTGGCGCGACGCGATGTATCACTTGATCTCTTTTATTAAATCGATTGTCACGATCAATCGCGGTGTGCCTCATCATTGTAATTGAAACGCAGCGAATCGGCTTTGGTGATCGCGGTTAGCGATCCGGACAGATGTGAATCCTCCAGTAAGCTTTTATCAAATTCCTCTTCGCTGATCTTCGTTGATTAATTGAAATTGAATATGTATTACCCTAAACATCGGCTTCGCGCTTTCATGGACCTCTCATTCATTTCTCGTACCTCTCACTTTGCGGGCGACTTCAAACAAAGAAGAGGGGATAGCGAGTTGCTTATTTCGAAGCAGAGACCACTTGCTTGTTTCGAGGCAATGCTGTATTGTCCAATTTATGTTGCGTTTGGGTTCATTTTGATCGCAAAAACATAAGGAATCGATCGACGTCGCTTCTGCAAAGATCTGATAAAAAATGCGGAAGTTGGTATTTCTACAAGAGAAAATCATTTCCTTTTTCGGACGACATACCTGGTACAGGCACGGCCAGAAACACAGAAATTCGGACCCGAAGTTGCACGGAAAGTTGTTCAACTTTATTGCATAGTCTGAATGCGGCCTAAGACATAGAATTTAAATGGTGTCGAGGGACACATCTCATAAGATACGTGATTTTGCTTTTCTTGTGAATATCTTTTCTCAGCTTGATCTTTTTAAATAGAATGACCCATTTTTTGTATCATAAATTGATAGAATATCAAATTCTAAGCAAAAATATATTGATCTTCATATGTGCTAAATTTATACCTAACGAGATATTAACGAAATAACTTTCAAATGATGTCACTTTTTTACGAACTGATCATATGAATGTTCTGACCCTGAAAATGAGAATATATTTTTAACGTTTTACGAAGTATCAGAATAATCAGAGAGATGTTACCTGACAGCTTGAATGTGAATTTAATGGCAAATGTATCCCATAGCTTACAATCAGTATGACTTATTGGAATAACGCCAATATAATTTCATCAGTCGAACGTAGGTAGCCAGCAATTACTGTTCAATATAGGAATTTCGAACACGAAACCAATCTATTACGAGATGATTAAATTCAACATATATTTCGATATTCCTATTGAAATTTCGAAATTCGTATTATTAATTAGCTATATATGTAAATTTATTTTCGATGACAACTTTTACTTGCAATTTAAATACGCAGAAAATGAAAATAAATTGGAATTAATCACAATTTATGTGATTATGTGAAATTTTCTATAACTTACCCAAAGAAAACATCGTACACCAAATTTTAACCCGCTTTCTCAACTGGGAGGGTAGTTACAGGGTAAATTCGAATTATCGGTTTCGAATTATTTAATGATATGCAACAATTCTGAAAAAATTGTATAATATTGTAAACATGATTATTTATGGTAATGAATTTCTTTCAGATTTTTTTGTTACAAATCCAAAGTGTAAAAGATCAAAAACGTAAAAATATGTCAAAAAATACAGATTTTTATCCGACTTCGAAAAGGAGGAGGATACTCAATTCGATGTGTATGTATCTTTTTTTTTCTTTTTATGTATGTTCACCCATTATGCCGAGACAGATGGACCGATCGGATCGAAACCTTTTGCATCTTGTAGATTGTAGAGTATGTCTCCCAACTGGTTCCGTTAAAATAACATTTTGCATTTTTTCATTCCGAACGATTTTTATTGCAAAAAAACGTACTGTTTCATATACGTTCTGTGTATGTTCACTGATTACTCCGAGACGAATGGACCAATCGGAACGACAATTTTGCATCTTATACAGGGTGTTCCGTAACGTATTTTCACCCTCTGAGATGGTGGTATGTGGGGTGATTCTGAACAACTTTCTCCTTTGCGAAAAAGTGGTTTGAGGCTTCCTTTTTGAATTATTAAGCAAAAACACTGACCAATCCGAGCGCGTATAGCGCGCGGGCTCAGGGACGGCAGTGTAGGCTACGAAAACCGGGTCTGACGTAGGTCGCGAACGAACAGCTTGGCACCCCGTTGGCATAGCATAATAAAAAAACTGAACCGGTAGAACATTTTTAGTCGTTGTTTAGAATGAATACGGAACCTAATCTCTTGTCGCCTGTCATAATGTAAAAAATGAAATTCTAAGGATTCTAAACAACAAATAAAAATGTTTGAGGTGGAATAATTAATAAACGTTTGAATTGGAGGCTACGTTAATGATGAAAAATTTGAAAACAATTTAAATGAAACTTACCCATTCGTTTCTAAATTAACCTGCTACGTTGAAATGCATTTCGAAGTCGGATTTGTTTTTTGTTAAAAATTATTTTATGTCTTGAAGTTTTTCAGCAATTACATATTTATTTTTAGTATGACTATTGCTATCCATTTTTTTCAAATTTTTCGATATTTTTTAGATATATCGTGCGAAAACGTAATGAATCTTATTTATGTATAATTTCTTTAATTTCTATTAATAAATTATATAAACAGTTTAAATGATTTTTATAGTATAAACTTTCAGTTTTTGTATTTCCAGTCTCAATTTGCCTTTTGCGCATGCGCCTTACTTACGAAAGGTGCGCCATATTGCATTGTCATATTTAAAAGTTTCAAAGCAGAAATGACACGCAGAGCGGGAAAACGACACAGATTAATAGCCTTAAAAAAAGCGTTGAAACAATCAATTAAAGTAACAATCCAAGTATATTTAATCAACTTATGTTTGTATAATAATTAACCAAAAACAAGAAAGACTTTACAGGAAGAGGTACAGAAGGAAACCGAAATTCCACAGAAAGAGATAATAGAGTGGAAATTGATTCCTATTGACATCCCAGGCCTAAATTGGGACATATACTGGAGGTAACAACCCAGTAAGTATACTTACGTCTTAAGACGACCCACGGCTAAAACACTGGGAGACATTAAAACTACTTGGATCCTTGACAGCCTCTGCAAGGAAATCATCCGAAGAATGCCGTTGTGCGAAATGCACAATACAAAAAAGGCTACAAGAGTCTTGGGACAAGAGACTCTTTTACATTGAAACAGGAAGATGTAACATCCTAGAAGATCAAAATAAAAATGTTGAAAAATTGTAATTTTAAAAATAAAATCTTGTTTATGTATAATTTCTTTAATTTCTGTTAATAAATTATGTAAAAATACACGTGCACAGTAATATTTTTTATACATTCGTGTGCTAATCCAACGGCGATAAACAGTTCATAAATAGTTAGTAGAAAAAAAAAAATATAAGAAAAATAATTGTTTAGAATACACAGCTCACTTTGAAACTTTCCGATTTAAGGCAAAATAAAAAACTCTGATCTAGACTTGACTAACTGAATTTTGTTTATAAAATTCTGCGAAAGCAGAACCAGTTTTATTCAGACATATCCAGGCCAATCCAGGCAGTTGAGCGTTCAACATAACCTAAATTGTAGCGCATGTGCTATCTCCAAAACCAAATCGACAAGCCCAAATTACATCAGGTTTGTCCCCAGAATTTCAAACAAATGTATACATATGTATATAAGTACATATGTTCACAAAAGAAATGGCAGAGAAACTCACTGATATGTACATATGTATAATCATATCACAGTCAAAGACAACCAACTAGAACTAAAATCATTAATGGTTAAACAAATGAATTGGGCTTACAAGCTAACATAACAGATACAGGATTTTTACATATTCTGAGTTTTAGAGAAGAAATCAAAAGTAATTTGTCCTCCCAGTTGCAGATACTAATATGAACAAACCATTAAATAGCAATAAAAATTGACTCCATACTGGTATTCAAAGAAAGTTGGAACTATCAGTTGGAACTAACAAAATTATCATTAAAATACCAACACCTTTTTCCTCATGCGTTTCATACAGATGAAAGTGAAGATGACAAAGATGATGTACAGCATCAATATACAACCAACGAAGGAAATAAAAATCAATTCAAAGTAATCAAGAAAGCAAAGCGCATTGGGTCCAAAGATAAACTAACAAAAATAACAGAAGAAACTATATGAAAAACTACACTTATAGTGTAGTTGTTTGTGGAAAATGCCTTTGGATCAATTAACCCTGGGGAAGTAATGTAGAATTTTGCAGACAGCTTTAATGAACTCAGTTATATGATCAAAAACATTTATCTTCTTTGAACAGAAAGAACTATTAGAAATAAATGCAGTAAGATCATTAAGAAGTTGAACACAAACAATTTTGAAGAGAATAACAGCTACGCTAAGAATGCAGTGAATTTTACATCCTAGAATAAAATTGTAGAACTCAGAGAAGCCAAATCTTCTAAATAACATACACCATCAATTGTATTAACATATAAATAATGAAGAATACAATTAAGGAATGCAAACAGATACCACTTTCACTACAAACAGATGCAGATACTAATTAATAAAACCATTCTAGACATTATATGCCTTCAGGCAACTAATTTCTAAAGGGGAATAATAGATATTGGTAATTTTTGGCAACAGTAGTTTTTGTAGGATATGTTTCTACAAGTTTTAAGGAGTTCAAAATACATCATGGTTCACCTTGGAGATGATGGAAAAGTAATAAACAGTAAGCGTACATACACCTTCCCTCAGAAGTAACAAAACATATATAAATATTGTCACACTCTAAAAATTTTTTGGATATATACCTTAGATGAGATTAAAATATAAATTACAAGCAAATTTTAAATCTTGTAAAAATAAGTATTCATGTATTCATATATGTTTACAATCAAAGATGTATTTACTTATATACTTTTACAAATACAGTGAGAGTCAAATGGAACGGAACTAGTCACGTTCTTAGATAAAAAGTCGCGATTTTCGAAAATTTTAATTACTTATAACTTATAAATGTGTTGACCGATCTGGATGAAATTTTCAGCATACACATAACTTATTTGAATCTACGAAAGACATATTTTAAATTTTCATTACAAGCTCATTGTCAGATAAAAAAGTTAAAAAATTGCCTTTTATTATTTTTTCCCCGATTTTGACAAATTGTAATTTTTTAAAACGATAAAAATACATATTTTAGTGAATTAATTTTTATAGCTTCTCAAAAAACCAAGTTATTTAGTCCAATTTTAACCGAGGTATTCTATTTTGAACAGTGTCTACTCACTTTTGACTCTCACTATATATCCCCCTCTCCGAAAGGCTCTTGGATTGTTCGTTGTAATTATCGAATATCAAGGATTGGAGGAACTACGAAATAGACACAAAATCTCAAAGGAATCCAAGAAAATATTCAAAACCGATAAAAGCAAAGAAAACAAATTGAAATTTATAAAAACATCAAACGTAGGGGGCGTGATATAGATCTAAATGTAACCGTCGCTAATGACCAAACTGTCGATGCGACGTTAAACAACTCCTTGAAGAAGGAGAAGAAGAAGAAGAAAGCAAAGAGAGGGAACTTGAAATTCCTACTGTACGCTGAGACAGAAAACATTTCACAGGAGTTTTCCTATTGTTTCCGACCGGAAACTTTTAAAGTAACCTACGTAACATGCATTTTTAGTAGCTTTTTATAGAAATTCTATAAGTTCTTATCTTATTAACGTTTTTTTGTATTAAAGAGCAAATTATTACGAAATTGTAATACTATTTTATGCAGAAATAATGATAATTGTAGGAGAATGAGGATAAATGAACTTTTCTTTATCACTATGCCATAATACTTATTTTATTATGAGAAAAAGAATTGTTTCTACTTTGGATCAAGTTGGAAGTTTTGAATTTTAGCCAGCTCCTGGTGGAAATATTACATCGTTTGACGGTATGAAAAGTGACGGCTGAAGTGGTACAGCATGTTGAAATGGTGCACGGCGGTACGCGAGCAAGACATTAGCAGCGATAAAATTTTACAACTTTGACAACTCTACGGATGCCATGATGAAATTTATTAGGTATTAAGAAGACTCTTCGTCGATTCTATAGAAAAAGTTTTATGTCTATACCTTATCTCTCTTTACAGTAGACCATCGTTATATTGCTGCTGACGGCGCTGCAAGAGCGAAAAAAGCTCTAGCGGTATAAGCATAGTGAATCGGCCCCAGTAACAATTTCGGTTATTTATAGCATGTAATGCGTTTTGCTTAAAGAACAACTGTGAGCAATCGTAACCCCGTACCCCCTCCATAAGGGAAATATGAGGGTAAAAACCCTAAACTTTACTGTTTCTTTCCTTGGAAATTGTTTAAGATATTTGAATACATTAAAGTGCAAATAGTAGGTACTCATTGCATTTTATATATACAGGGTGGTCAACATATCTTGAGATAAGTCAATATCTTCTAAACAACACATTGTTGGAAAAAATGTTGCAGACAAAAGTTGTCATGTGTCAGGGGTTAAATTGGATAGTCGGAATGGATTTTTTCAGTGGGTACTCCTGCAGGTCATATGAAGTTCAACTTAATTTTTTATTATACTATCATAATCTCTAGGAGAATATAGGTAACTTTTGTACGAAAGATTTTTTCGTGGATCGTCAACTTCCGGAGATAAACCATTAAATATTTAAGAGGATGTGATGGGTAAAAACACGTACAAGGAGCATTGTATTTATAATCGCTTTATAATTTTTAACAAACATTTTACCGATTTTATGACATAGAATTTGCTAAGGACGAAGCGAAAATTAAAGATCCTAAATGCATGGTATAAAAACGAAAAATTACTCTATTGCCAGCAATACCCGTAAAACAATCCTTTACTACATAACTATTAGCTATAAAAGTTTCAAGAGAGTCGGATTGGTACAACAGGGTTAAAAAAAAGTAAAACTAACGCAACGCCCCTTCATAAGAGGCAAAGTTAGGCTAAACCGTTAGTGATGCTCAAAATCTAACTGACCTACAAGGGAACAAACAATACCGTTGCATTGGTCTTGCCACTTTTCTCATACCAGAAACAGCTCTCAGAAAAACATGAACCTCTTTCTTCAACTAAACTATGTGGTTTTTAAATAAGGAATTTAGTCCACAGTCATTTGTTTAAATATTATATCAACAATTTAGTAAAGTTTTGTAGGAGCAGAAAAAGGGAGTTTCTCGTTTACCGGACTCGTTACTGCGGCTGACGACAGACGATCCCTGTCCCATACACCTATAATGACATTTCTCGGAACTCCTACATGTCGGTATCGCATGCCGGGCGACCGCCAGCGAGAACAGTATCATTCCTGTCGCTATTTGGCTGTCGCCGGCCCGAGTTAAAGGCGTCCGGGGAGACTTAGGCACCCCCCCTTTCACTAAACGCCTACACATTTTAATTAAGTTTTCTTACTGAATGGCAATCTCCTTTTGCGTAAAGTATATACGAAGTGTGGAATAAATTAGGGAATATATGGTTTTGAAATTTTTTTTCACTATTTCAGAACAGATACTCTTGAAACTTTTACAGATAATAGTTAAGTAGTAAAGGATTATTCTTAATCTTTTCGATGAGTGTCACTCAAGGGGTTGTTTATAGAAATTATCTTTAAAAACTTATTTATTAATTTTCAATCCTTAATTATCGGATATTAATTTTGGGAAATATATATGAAATACAGCTAATAAGTACCTACTATTTGCACTTTAATGTGTTCAAATACTGTAAACAGTTTCCAAGAAAAAAATATAGTAAAGTTTATGGTATTTACCCTCATATCCCCCTTATTGGGGGGGGGGGGGGTGCTCATAATTGTTCTTTGGGCAAAAGGTATTATGTGGTATAAATATCAGTCGAAACTGTTGCTAGGGCCGATTCACTATGCTTATACGGCTACGATCTAGCCGCTAGACCCTTTGTCAAGTTTCTAACAAGGGACATTACCCAATCGACACACGTCGATTTTGATACCCTTTGAGTATGATATAGAACTCAAAAAAATATTTGACACGTATTTTTTTTTATCGGCAATCGTCCATGCTGAAGGGATGAAAAAAATGACAAAAATAGATTATTTTTCAATATATTTTTTAAACGAATAAATTTATCAAAAAGGTGGCTACATAGAAAAATTTGCTGTTCACAAACACACAAATTCCGTTTTGAATTTTTCGCCTACACCTAATAGTTCCTGAGATATTCAAGAAAATATGTTTTGTAACCCCAACTTTGAGGGCTATTTTCATCCCTTCAGCATGGACGATTGCCGATAAAAAAAAATACGTGTCAAATATTTTTTTGAGTTCTATATCATACTCAAAGGGCATCAAAATCGGCGTGTGTCGATTGGGTAATGTCCCTTGTAAGCTCTCATTTGGAAGAGATAGGGGAGATAGAAACATATCATTTTCATAGAAAATAATGGTGGAAGGGTAGCACTGGTGTACTTGAAATCCGTGTAGAGGTCAAATAGTTCACGTAAAGGGAACCTACTGTATTTTCAAGTTTAAAAATTATTAATATTACTTGATTAAACGGAGTGATATTTTTGCTGTATTTTTGAATAATGAAATTCGACTTAATACACTTGATTTTTTCAATATAATAGGTTTTATTCAATGAATTTAAAAATTTACTTTAAGAAATTATTTATTCAATATAAAAATATTCGTTTTCTTAAAGAAAAAGTAAGGATACTCTTGCGACATTTGAATTAACGCATTGTATTTAAAACGTAGAAATACGGTGTTAGCATAGCACAATACTTTATTAATATTTTCTATAATAATTTGAAATATACAATGATTTATACAATGTTATGTAACTAAGTGGTGTGCCGTTCCATTCCTATTCAACAGCGGTTATGAGCTCTTTTGAGAAGAACATTACAAATTGCAGTATCATGTATTGTATTCTTTAATTTAAACTCTAAAGTTTCATGTATATAAAATAATTTTTAACAAAAAATAAAACCGACTTCAAAATGTGCTAAAAAATGTAAAATAATTTATATTTCGTTTATACAACTACGTAACAATTATTAATGAAACTTGCTGCATTAACAAAATGCGCTAAAAAGTATCAAATAATTTCTATTTCATTTATACCAATATTCCACAGCTATTAATAAAATCTGTTTTATGTTAAATAGTATACTAAATACATTTCAACCTTTTCGGAGACGGCGCAAAATTGAAAACTTTTCTTCTACTCGGAAGATGCTAGTTCAGGGGTTGACAATCTATGACACGCCCGTTACCGAATGACCCATTTGATAGTTTCAAGTTAACAATATTCAACGGGAATCAACATACCCATTGCGGATTAACTACATTTACATCAAAAGTGCTGCCAACTTCTAATACCATCGTTCCAATTACAAATGTTTTCAGCCGTACCTATAACGTTCCGCATTTTTTCTTACAACTTATTAATTACCAAGTTTGCCATACCGCTGTTATGTCTCCGGTCATCGACCGCATTTTCGTCTTTCGCGATTCCAAAAAGGGTTTCGCTCAGGAATCCTCAGAGCGTCAGCGTTTTCGCGCCTGGCAACGCCCGTGACACGAAGTGAAGGAACTCGCGGAATGCGATGACGAAAACCCTGTGCTGGCAGGTTTTCGCAAGCCACGGGCGTGACCCATTCTGGGAATATAAAGCAGCGATATGAAGGAGACCAGTGAGTTCCTTGATTACGTGAAGCAGAAACGAAGCGCTGTCCGTTCGCGACCCGCAGTAGACCCGCGTCTTAGGCTACTCGAAACCAGGAAGATCATCAACGACGTGCTCGGCCGACGGTTCAACACGAGTGTATCGCCGTGGTTTGAGATACCAGACCCATAATTGGACAAGCTCCAGGAGTGCACCCGTGTGCTGTTCAGGACCACCACTAACCGCTTGTATCTTCCAAGGTCGAGTCGTAGCCACATGCCGCGAGTTTAGTGCCGTAGCGATCCGCGGCGGTAAGCGAAAAGCGAGACTTATAGCGTGAGTGACCGAAGAGTGTGTGATACGAGAACGTACGAGCGACATACAACACCTGAAGTCAACGAAGGGTATGTAACTACAGAACCAGAATATATATTTTGCAGACCCATATATGTACACTACGATTACTGAACGCCCATTCTGTACCCTATACTACCTGCAAGGAAGGTCAAGGTGCGCCTTAGCGCTTTAATCGGCAGAACCCGTAGAACGTATTAACAGTAGAATAACCACCCATAAGGTGGGACGTAACAAATTGGTGTCAGAAGTGGGATGACGGGTTAATCATACGGATTCACGTTAACTGAACGAATATTAAATTGATTCATTGCCGTTGCTTAACGCGCCGTAACTTGACTATCCCCTTGCTACTCTAAAACTTGTCTCTTTGTAACTCGCAACATGCCTCTCATCCACGATACCATTCCTACCCGCAATCCACCACCTATTCCCGCAACCCCGCCAACCATGCGATATACGCGGAGCCTCGGGCAATCCGGGGCGTCCAACTATGACTTGTGGCGTATCTCCGAAAGGGAGGAGAAAAAGGTGAATCGGATCTTAGAATCAATTCCTGATTTCGACCCTGAAAAGGTTTCGTTCGAGGATTTTGTGACCGCGATTCATAAAGTAAAATCACAAGTCCCGGCTGGCCAAGAGGATACATTTCTGGAAGGCCTAATGGACAAACTAGCCCTGCACGTTAAATTTTACATAGAACAACATACTTGCGCGAACGTCGCCGACCTATTGAGATTGCTTCGTAAAAGATACGCCCCCAATAAAACATACCAGGAACTTTGTCTAGAGCTCAGAAACACCCCGATGCGGGACGGCGAAACAGCCTTAGAATACATACACCGTTTCACAAAGATACTTTGTCAAACAATAGCTAGCGGTCGCGACGAAAAAGGCCAGGATTTTGACGCCGACGAATTAGACGCTTTAGCAGGGCAAGCCTTTATTCAAGGATTGCCATCGAAATTATCTCAAGCTGTACTAGCTGCAAGAAAAATTCTACTCGTAGACATCATGGACGAGGCGTACCTCATTGATAAAAACATAGCGAAACTGAAGGGAGCAGCCCCCGCGAAACCTCAAGTCAATCCCTTACCGGCCACTCCACCCTCGCCATACGGCTATAATCGGACCTGGTCCGAATGGCGGGAACCATCCCAGCCCATACAACCAGAATATCCCAGTCAATCATGGACCTCCTATTACGCAAACATGGTTCAACCCGCGGCCCCTGCTGCGAACGCGTTTCAACCTCCGTTCGCTGCTCCGCCATATGGGCCCGGATACCCATTCGGATATACACCATATATGCCTCCGCCGCCGCCTTGGTTCTACGGCTACAACTACGCTCAAGGTCCGAACTTCCAAGATCCATATCGCAACCCATATCAAATGCACGGAACTCAAAATTCAGGTCAAATGAACTATTCAAACAACAATCCACGTGGATCGAACCGGCAACAAGGACCACGCCGACCGCCGCGAAGTAACACGCCGGAACGAGCAAATTTATGAGAGAAAAAACTTGAGTTGCGCCCGTTCACCCGCGGACAATCGAGCGGGCGCAGCCTGCAACCGCACCAAGCCCAAGCGAGTCCTCAGGACTCTTACAGGCTCCTTTGCCGCGAATCCGGATCCGCTCAAAGGAATTGAATAACGGTAACGGCGAATTTATAGTAGACACCGACTCGATGTTGAACTTGATTAAGTCAAACGCGTTCCGACCCGACGCGCCGATCATTAAATGCGAAAGCGTCAGCGTAAAAGGACTTCAAGGATATATCATTGCTGCCGGCATCATAAGCCTTAAGATAAACGGAAGTCAAACTCTCTTTTACGTCGTCGACACCCTGGATTTCCCTGACGGAGTAATAGGACTCTTAGGTAGCCCGTACCTCCTGCAAGAGGAGAGCGAAATTTCTTTTCATCATAGAACCCTAGTAACGAGCAAACGGCCGATTCCCATCAGATTCTCGAACTCACAGGAGATAAATGAAACGCTGACCTTTTGCCATCGCAACCAGGAAGCCCCGCGAGCGCTCCTCGGTAAACAAGAAGGTACAAAACTTGCGTCAGCCGATTGCATAGACGATAACGACGAAGACGCTGACCATGCCGTCGAACGGCTGACCCAGCAAATTCCTCAGGAATCGGGTGACGAAACACGCAACGCGACCGACACTACTGACCTACCTAGGCCGCCGACCCCGCTTACAGACGAACAGCTGGAATTCCAAGGCGAAGATTTAGGAGATTACGTTGTCACGCGACAGACCGACGTTGAGAGGATCCGTAGTATTAATAGTGTAATAACATTAGATCACTTAGAAGAAAAACTGCGATGCATGATCGAAGGTATCGTAGCGCGTTACGCGGATCGATTTTTTATACCCGACGATCCCCTGGGAGAAACGAATGTGATCGTTCACAACATCACAGTGAGCGACAAAACTCCGGTGTTCAAGCGACAGTATCCCTTCAGCGTCGACCAGGAGAAAGAAATAGCCAAACAGATAGGGAGTTCCCCCGAACTCCCCATATAACTCGCCCCTCTGGCTAGTCCAGAAGAAACCGGACTTGCAAGGAAATGTGCACTGGAGAATGGTCGTAGACTTCCGTAAACTAAACGCGAAAACCATCGACGACCGTTTTCCGATTACCCGCATATCAGTTAGGAGGCGCCAAATACTTCGCAGTTTTCGACCTAGCGAACGGATTTCATTAAATACGCATGACTCCCGAGGACCAAGAAAAAACAGCATTCGCGACTCCGGATGGACATTATG